GGAAGACGAAAATTACTAAAATATCGGGGAGGCTCTTGCATATCCACGTCATCGTCATATCCAACTTCACGAAAAAGCGGTTACCGAGACGAGATCGATCATAATCTCTTTCGCATTCCTTGCAAAATATCACGATAAATTCATTGACGATGAAAAAAATAATTGGAGAAAATTTCTCGCACCAACTTCTCCTTTCGCTTTTTTTTTTTTTTTTTGTTGCAAACATACTTTTAGGAAATTTCTATGTATTATTTAGAATATTTAAATTAGTGGATATACTTTTTTTCTTTAATCATTATTTCAATCCTTATACTTTTAAAAAATTTATTGTTTTAATCCCTAGTCATTAACTTCTACTAACAAATTTTATATTATAATTTAATTTCGAATTTTTAAATTTACAAATTTCATACTTGTCATAAATCTTATATCGTCAAGTTCATTTACTTATAAATAAGAGTAGAACGACGTTAAGCACTTCTAATCTTAAACGACTATTAGAGAGATAATTTTATTGTTTTAGAAAATATAGTTGTGATAATGACTGAAAAATTCGAGATCTCGCAAAATCATAAATACTAAAATACGAGAATGAATATTATGAAATATCTCATTAATGAATATAAGAGAATAGTCGAGTTATCTGCAGACAAATGCAAACTCATAGTCATTATCTTTGTTGTTATCATTTTTAATTAAAAACATGACCGTTTAGATCATGTGACGGAGAAGATTAGATTGAATGCGTGAGCAATATTTGTAGCTGGAATAAGAATCTTATAAGTAAAAAACGTTTCAATAACTCGAGCAACAATTTTGGTAAGATTGGCAAACGAGTAACTATTGAGATTGGGAGAGTTTGGAGAGATGAATAATAAAAGATTTGCATGGACATGCATCATTAGTTATCGTAGTGCGTGTAATTTTTTGTTTTTGTTTTTAGAGAAATGAAATTCTGACAAAATAGTTAGCTGAAATGAGAAAATATGATAAATGTGAGATTCGTGATGTCAATTAGATTTAATTTTTTTTTTATTTAAACGAATTCTTATATTGTAATAATTAAAAAAGACCAAGTTAAATATTTCGTTATTGAAATATAATATGTGACGTGGACAACAACTCAACTAGAATGTGAAACGTTGCAAACTTGGATCTATATAGCACCATTAGTGGAAGATAATAATTAGGGACCAAAGTAAAAATTTCTTACAAATATAAGGACCAAAATAAAAAAAAATATAAGGACCATTTTGAACAATTAAAATAATACAGGACCCAGATTAGTATTTTGACTAATTTTCTCCAATTGTCTATTTTCCCGAGGGTCTTCTTTAGCTCTAGCTAACCCAAACTTTCAACACTTCAGTCTCTTCTCCATCACTGTCACTGCTTTCACACACTCTCCCTCTCTAAAACCTCCATTGTTACTCTAAGCATCTTTCTTCATCTTCTGGCTTTATGGTCCAGAAAAGAAAGGTAAGCCCTCTAGTTCAGTCTCTGAGTTAACACTGATTTTCTCTCTTAACTGTCAACTCTAGCTTAAAGGCATGTTAGCTTTTATTTGCTGGGTTGCTTTTCTCTGCAACTTCAATATTCAACTGAGTCATGCTTTGAGTGGAGAAGGCTATGCGCTTTTATCGTTCAAACAGTCAATTGCCGAGGACCCAGAAGGGTCCTTGATGAACTGGAACTCCTCTGATGAAAACCCTTGTTCATGGAATGGGATTACATGCAAGGAAGAAAGAGTTATCTCTGTTAGCATTCCAAAGAAGAAGCTTTACGGCTTTTTTTCTTCTGCTTTAGGGTCTCTCTCGGATCTTCGCCATGTAAATTTAAGGAACAATAGGTTTTATGGAAGCTTGCCTAGGGAGCTCCTTGAGGCTAAAGGGCTTCAAAGTTTAGTCCTTTATGGGAATTCATTATCTGGCTCCTTGCCATTTGAGATTGGCAAGCTCAAGTATCTGCAAACTTTAGATTTATCTCAAAATTTCTTAAATGGGTCTATCCCTGCATCCATTATACAATGCAAGAGGCTTAGGACCCTTGATCTGAGTCAAAACAACCTCACTGGTGCACTGCCTGATGGGTTTGGGACTAGTTTTGTCTCATTGGAAAAACTTGATCTATCATTCAACAAATTTAATGGTTCAATTCCTAGTGATATAGGTAACTTATCTAATTTGCAAGGAACTGTTGATTTTTCTCATAATCTGTTCAGTGGTTCAATCCCTGCTAGCCTAGGAAATTTGCCTGAGAAAGTTTATATTGATCTCACGTACAACAATCTAAGTGGGGCAATACCTCAAAATGTTGCTCTATTGAACAGAGGACCAACTGCATTTATTGGGAATCCTGGGCTTTGTGGCCCTCCATTGAAGAACCCTTGTTCTCCCGATAGTCCTGGCGCAAGTTCACCTTCCTCGTACCCATTTTTCCCTAGTAATAGCACTCCTGAGAGTTCGGTTGACAATGGTGGGAGCAGTGGGAAAGGAAGAGCCTTAAGTAGGAGTTCTGTCGTTGCAATTGTAATTTGCGATATAATTGGAATTTGCCTTGTTGGATTGCTTTGCTCTTATTGTTATTCAAAATTTTGTGCATATAGCAATGATAAGGATGAAAATGGTTATGGGTTTGAGAAAGCGGGGAAGCGAAAGAAAGAGTGCTTGTGTTTTAGGAAGGATGAATCTGAGACTTTATCAGAAAATGTGGAGCAATATGATCTTGTGCCATTGGATTACACAGGTGGCATTTGACTTGGACGAGTTGCTTAAAGCTTCAGCTTTTGTTCTAGGAAAGAGCGGAATTGGTATTGTTTACAAAGTAGTTCTTGAAGATGGGCTCACCTTTAGCTGTTAGGAGATTGGGAGAAGGAGGCTCTCAAAGGTTTAAGGAATTCCAGACAGAAGTCGAAGCAATTGGGAAGTTAAGGCATCCCAACATTGTTACTCTCAGAGCCTATTACTGGTCTGTCGACGAGAAGCTGCTCATCTATGACTACATACCTAATGGAAGCCTTGCCAGTGCACTACATGGTAAACTTTCATAAAATTCTCCACACAACACTTGCATTTCTTTTCCACATTGGTGATATATGATTTTCGATATCAGGATTCATTCTTTATAATTTTTTAATACTGTGATTGCTAACATCAGGGAGGCCTGGAATGGTATCGTTTACACCACTATCATGGTCTATTCGTTTGAAAATAATGAAGGGAACTGCGAAAGGCTTGGTCTACCTACATGAATTTAGTCCTAAAAAGTATGTCCACGGAGATTTAAAGCCGAGCAATATACTGCTCGGACAGGACATGGAACCTCATATTTCCGACTTTGGACTTGGACGGCTTGCTAATATTGCAGGAGGATCTCCAACCTTGCAGTCAAACAGAATGCCCCAAGATAAACAACAAGAGAAACTCTCGAAGAGTGCACCTTCAGAAGTCACCACCATTAGTTCATCTACCAATCTGGGATCATATTATCAGGCTCCTGAAGCACTGAAAGTTGTAAAACCATCACAGAAGTGGGATGTTTACTCGTATGGGGTAATTTTACTGGAAATGATAACTGGGAGATTGCCAGTTGTCCATGTGGGACCATCGGAAATGGATCTTGTTCAATGGATTCAGCTCTGCATCGAAGAGAAAAAGCCACTTTCAGACGTTCTTGATCCATTTTTAGTGCCTGATACAGATAAAGAAGAGGAGATTATTGCAGTTTTAAAGATTGCAATGGCTTGTGTCCATAGCACTCCCGAACGAAGACCTACAATGAGGCATGTCTCAGATACCTTGGACCGGGTAATATCATCAAGGGATTGAGAAAACTAACATTACCATGAATTCAGCTTATGATGATTTTGAGTTGTCACAATGAAGCAAGGATTTGCCAATCCAGACTACAGTGACTCGGTGTTACCAACAGTTGTGCTGACTTGTATTGTCTTCGGGGTGAGGATTCACATTCAGATTGTTAGGGAGGTTGGTGAAAGTAGGTCTGCTTTAAGAGCTAAGAGAGATTGTAACAGATATTACTGAATGGGAAATCTGTACTCTGTATACTTACAGTATGTATGTATGTGAGATCATGTACTTGTTTTTATCCTCTTGCTCTTATAGCAGACCTTTCTTGTCTTGTTTAACTTTCTTAGCGAATGGAGTTTCCTGTTTTGTTTTCTTTTGTTTCTTTATTTTTGTTTCTAGTGCTTAACACAACAATTATTGAGCAACGGAGGAGAAAGAACTTTCTGCTCACATGGTTGCTGGACAAAAATGGAGATCTGTAATCCTCTAATCGCAGCTATGGTACTCCTTCATGACTGAGTAATCTTCTGTCAATTTCTTAGGTTCGTGCAGTACTAACCAACTATTTTTTGGCTGTGATATTAATTTTTCTTTTATTTTATATGAGAATATATGTTTGAATCGACCTGTTTATATACATGTTTTTGTTAAAAAATTGTGTTATAATTCACGTGGGACGAAAGTGAAATTCAGAGTTACCATTAGGGTAAAATTTTTCTTAATTAGGAAACTTAATGTTCTGCAAGAACTTCTGTTAATTTTCCTGATCTGTGTTCTGCAGTCTGCTGGGTTATGATAGCAGGAGAAGATTATGTAGTGTGAAAATGCAGTCATGTATAGTTGTGACTCGGAGTTTAAAGTAAAAGATTTTTAACCTAGTCGTGACCGTACAATTAACGAAATTTTTTTTATTAAATATTTTTTATATTTAAAAATATAATAAATTTATTAAAATTTAATTTAATTTATTCATTACAGTTTTAATAAATAATTATAATTATTTTTTATAATATTTTTTTTTTTCATACGTGATTTAATATATTATTTAATCGCATGTTTTATTCTTTATTATTTTTTTAATTTTAATTATTTCAATTTTACCATATTATTTATAAACACTAGTATTTTAATTCTGTTAAAAATTATTTTTTTTTTAAATATTAAAATTTTTGGACATAATTTAAAAGAATTTTAATTTAATTTATTAATACAAGACTCGAAATTGTATATTGTTTTAATGTAAATTTTAATTTAAAAAATTCAACCATGACCGAAAAATCACTACATATTTTGCGTTTTGAATCGAATGATTTAATTTAATTTAATTTAATACTTGAATTATTTAAATATTTATGTTATTGATCGTAAATAAATTATAAAAAAAATAATAAAATTTTTATTTATAATAATTATTATCAATTCATAATATATTTAATAAAATAATAAATTTTAATAGAACAAAAACCCGACAATTAAATCTTTTAAAAAGAGAATTGATAGCTGTCGTTTGGGATTTTAATTGGTGTTACATTTGTCTTTTTCTTTGACCTTTAACTTTATTTCTTGTCGGAAATCTTGAATTATATACTCCTCCCTTTTAACTCTTCATAATTTATTTTAAATATATATATATATAAATAATAATATAGCTATAACTATTGCTTATAATTATTCAAAAATATTTTTATAATAATCTTTTTATATGTTTTTTTGTTGGGTGGAAATCTATTTTACCCAAGAATGTTTGTCTTTTATGTATGTATTATAATGACACAATAGTAACTCTTGGATTCGATTAATAATTTAATACACTCTTGTTTAGTACATTATATTATTATATTGTATTATATGAGTGAATAAATTCAACTTTACTTACATTTTTATAAATTAAATATTTAAACAGAATCTAATAATCATTGGGTATAAATATATAATTTTTAATAAAAATGTTAGGTTGGTTTTCTTTTGCGAGTAAAAAAATTAACCGAGATGCCTTTTAGACGATAATAGAAATAATATTTTCACCCCGTATTTTCAATATTTATAAGTCAATCAAAATGTTAATAAAGTCTCAAACATTCTCGATAGAATACAGAAAATGATCCGAAACCCAAAATTATCTAAATTTTGATCGTTAATTTATAAATCACAGTTCATGTCATGTTAGCATCTTTGCCATCGAGCACAAAAGTTAAGAGCACCAGCTAGTGTAGTACCACTTTTGACAAGTAATTTGTACAAATCAAGTTGTAATGTGGTTAGTTTTTGGGGACTCATAATGCATAAATGGGCAGAGGATATTCAAAGGAGAGTGTCCCTTGTGCTCGGACAAAACCAGAAGGCTTCATTTTCAGCAACAGACAATGTGGGTGCTGTAAAGGCCCATGACTTAAAGTACATGACTTTTAGGGGTCAACTTTTCTCATTTCTAAAAAGAACCCTAGAAAATAAAGGATACTACTTTGATTCTTGACCATTGAGTTTTCCAATAGCTGAAATCTCATACCATTTTTTTTTTTTTCTTCTTGTTTGAACTTTTTGAGGCAACCCAGATGCTAGAATTTTGAGTAGATAACATCTCTCAAAGTATTAAGTTAACATCGCATGACAAAACAAGTTTCAGGATACCTTCCAGATCTACGAATTAATCTCGTGTCGTCGTGTTGTTGTTACTACGATGTGTTAGTTTGTATCATACCGTATGCAGACTGTGTTGATGTTATGATGTTTATGAATTATCATAATTTACATATAGACATATATATTATATGTCTGTTAGATTCAAGAAACAAGATTCAATAAACGAATACCCAGAAATTAGTTTATTTATTAATCCGATGAAAAACAGAGTACAAGTTGCAGTAACTTATGACTACAGTTTTAGCTACTAAGTATCTTAAAATTTCCCCGAATGGATATTTTGCTCCAGCAGTCTCTCTTTTTAAGTGAAATATTCAATTGACATGAAAATTTGCTTATCAAGATCAACAATAATGTATTTAACTTCATCCAGTGCCTACATGTAATGCTCAACCCTAACTAATATAACATCACTTCTGCAATTTATGCGCAGATTTCCCATTTTAGATTCATCTCTAAAGCAAGTAATCCTTAATTTGCGATCTGCAGAGAGTCTTCAAGCCAAGACCATTCAAAGAAATCAGTTGAATGACGACGAACAAGAATGTAGAGCTTCGCTCCTTTTTGCAATCCTCAGCCGCCTCACTTTTTCAACAAACTCTCTATAAATGTCAATGATAGCCATCGAGAAATAATTGAGTTACCACAACAGTAATGAGTACAAATACAGATAGACAGATCTAACCATAATATACAGGCATGAAAAAGCAGTGCGAGACTCCAAACACCTCGAACTCTGATACTATGTTGAATCATTAAGGTAAGTGAAAAATAAAGGACTTACTTCCATGGAACATCACCCACAGCCCTCCAATTGTCTTCCCTGTCCTTGTAAAACAGGGAAAATTCAGACCCAGCCTGGAACAACCTTAACCCAGATGCAGATTGTCTCCCTGGAATTAGTAATACTAATAATCTTAGCCAACACTTATTTCCAAGAAGGGATTTTGTACTTCAAGAAAAAAATACTCATTTCCAACGAGATCAAACAATGTAAAGATTATCAGTTTTCTTTCTATACCTACCAAACATGTCTTCTAGTTGATGTGCAAGGGTCGGGTAACCTCCATAGTCAAGCACACAAACTTTGCGACCAACCATAACTCCATCCATGTTAACCTTTACATAAGCCCACCTCTCTTTGCTCTGCACTGCTTCTGCTTCTTCATCACAGTGATCATCTTCAAAGAGTTTCTGATACCCTGTGATTGGATTCTTGAGCTGTGGCGAGGAATTAGCTTGAGGCTGGGGCCAACCAATGAGGTCATTGTAGCCACCAAGACTTGGCACTTGATTCGGACACAAATTCAAATTAGAGTTGCAGCTATATATGCTGCTATTATTAAAAGAGCCAGATTGCTTAATCCAAAAATTTAAAATATCCACTTTCTTCGTCCTAAGAATATCTCCACCAAAAAGCATAAATAAACTCTTATCCATATCACCATATAGCCATACTTAATGCTCATGCATACACAGTATCTGGTACATGGTCAAGTTATACTGTAAACAAATATTGCCACATCACTGTATAGTAGATTCAAGCTTTTCTATAGCAAGTATAGTAGATTCACCAACAGCAAAAGGGAATGAAATCCGATATCTAAAGTTCATGTATAACCCAAGAAAGCATGGAATGTAATTAAAAATGGAAAAGAAAATCAGAAATCACCGCTCAACATTACAACATAAGACCAAACGGCGATAATATATAAAAAGTATGGGATGAGCAAGAGCTTACTATGTCCAGATGGATGGTAAGCTTCAGGTTGCAAAGTTCCTAGACTAAGACCCAGATCGATTATACCATCTCCATTGTCTTCCTTGCCTGGATAGTAAACAGAATGGAGAGTTGAAGGATTCCAGAAAAAGCCTGAGGAATTAGAATCCATTAATGGAAGATGAGAAAACTTGGGTATTGACTGCTTGGCACTTGGATATAAGTGAGTAGATAAGCTGATATCTGCACAATGTGATACCCAGTGCACGTATATATAGAGGCAAGTAATGTAGCTGAATCTGAGTGTCAGAATTGGAGGAAAGAAGGTGGGGGCCAATTGCCTGGACATGGAAGGCACAAGGACTTTCTCCCATTATCAATCATTTAAGGGTGCTTTTATCTTCTTGTTAGAGTCTACTACTATCAACATGGCAAGTACACTAGCAAAGTGACTAGAAACAGGATCAGAACAAGGGATGGCCAAAGTGATCTTTAACAAAAATTGGGTTGGATTCTGTGACCCAACATTGCTACAATGTTGGTTCTCTTCTTTTCAGGCTGCAGACATCCATTACTGACTCAGAAGCCAAGCCATCCACATTACAAGGTATACAAATATTTGACTGTTTTTACACCAACAGAAGCACACATTCAATACAAACACACAAAACCATGAGAGAATGAATCTGGTCAACTGAGCTAAAGAAGACTACAAAGTACAGTCTTGTTAATGTCCATGTGATCTGCTGGGATATAAGCTCTGTTCATCTCTAGTAATCTCCTTCAAACCCTGGTGCTTAGTTTCTTTAAAGGTGGTTTTGTTTGACATACAACTTCTTTTTCTTGTTATAGTGGGCATGTTGATGCTAATGTTGTTATATAATAAAAGCATGCAGTATTACTGTATTCGTATAATTAATTCTCATATGTATACATATATATATATATACGTATACCAATTTTTGATGGGAAAGAAAAATTGACAAGAACTATAATGATAAGGCTATATGTAGTTCTGAATTAGCTTTCAAGTATAATATTTTAGCTGGGTAGTCCCTTTCAAATGACAGAGCTGCCACTCTTCCAGGGGACAAATATTTGTCACTGCCCCTCTTCCCACTCCACCTTGCCTGTGAAGGATGGTGCCCTAGTACCATGGATCCAATGTGCATAAATATATTAATACATATAATTTGCTTTTTCCTCTTATAAATGGGTTTGAAAAACAAGAAAAAAAAAGATCTTTACTAGCTAGTAGATCAAAATTTCATACACCAAGATCAACCAGAATTGCGAAAAAAAAAAAAAACAGAAGAACACTTAAATACGTCATTCTGAAAAATCCAAAGCCAATATGCAACCAAAAGTAATATATATGAACAGGTCACAAAAAGTAGTTTATTATATGAAAGCAACCAACAAGAGCAGTTCACAAATATAAAAATTGCAGGAGGACATGGACCTAAAACTGCTTGTATCAGTTACATCAAA